AGTGCAAGTGTCATGTCGTCCACATATTTGTAGATCTTCACGTGCGGAATTTAGTCCTCATTTAACATTATCAGAAACAATAATGGGCCGAGGACCGTTCCTTGAGGGACACCGCAGTGAAGATCAATTTCATCGGATATTTGGTTGTTTGCACGAGTCCTCTAGGAGCGAAGGTTGATGAAAGAAGATACCCACTTCACCCAGCCCTTGTAGAAACCCAGAGAAATCATTTTCTTAATTATGTGGTGTGGTCGATGAGATCAAATGTTTTCCTCAGGTCGATGGTGACGGTAGTGACCTCGAGTCTTTTGTCTACATTTGAAGTGATATAATTGATCAGGTCAACTAGGTAGTGAACTGTGGAGCTACCCTTGGTATTTCCAAATTGGCGATGTTCTAATTTTGGGGCGAATATTTTCCACAATTCTTTAGCAATTATTCTCTCGAGTATTTTGCAAGGAATAGGTGTTAATGATATGGGCCCAAGGTCATCGAGAGAATTAGGTGGATTTGTTTTGGGAATTGGGACTGTGATAGCACGCTTCCATAGGTCAGGCACCACGCCCTCAGTGATGGAGCAGTTAAAGATGTCGCAGAGGGGGGTGGCGAGCTCGGGAGCGAATTCACGTAGTAACCTCGGCGGGATGTCATCAGGGCCAGGAGATTTGCTTTTTGCTATCCTTCTTAAGTGTTGGTACACGTCGTATTCGCTGACAATTGCTTGCAGAGGGCGCGAGGGTAAGTAAGTTGGCAGTTCTGCTGATTGTAATGGTGGGAGTAGCTTGTTGATGTTCGCAAAGGGACAGTTGATGATGTTAGCAGCGCTTGCTGGCGAGTCGGCAATATCGCTGATGTGAGAGAGGTAACTGTCACTTCTTTTGTCATCGATTAAATTCCTAATGTGGCTATACCACGATTTGGGATTTGCGCCACTGATTTTATCAATTATTTGCTTATGATAATTTTTCTTAGCCGATCTTATCTCTGGTCTAACCTTTTTTGCCAAGTACTTTGTTACATCGGTGTTTTTGTTTTGTAAGCTTTTTGTATTGCCAGGATAAGGTCTTTGATCCTGTTGGTGACCCATGGTTTGTCCTGATGGTGGGTGGAAGTTCTTTTTAAGGGGAAGCAGTTGTCAACTTGGTTCCAGATTGATTTATAAAAAAGTTGGCATTTAGTGTTCGGGTCGGGGGCGTTGAGAACGTCGGCCCAGTCATGATGAGTAATCCATGATCCGAACTCGCGGATTTTAGAATCAGGGAATCTACGAATAAGTTTTGTTCCCATTAATTGCGTGGGTGCCTGGTATTTCTTTGGTACCCAGAGCAGCGACAAGTGATCACTATTGCCTAAAGGGAGCAGGGAAGTTGGACTTTCATAAAAATGCTCTTTATTTGTTATGATTTTATCCACGGTATTTTTCCCACGCGTGGCGAATGACACAACTTACTTAAAATTCAGTACAGAGGTGATTTCATAATCAGAAAAAGTGTTCAGGTCGCCAAGAATTACAAAAAAGTGATTTCCGTACTTTGCTTGGAGGATGAACACATTTTCTATTATGTGTTCTCTGAGGCTTTCTTCGGTAGGTGCCCTTGGGGGTAAATATATCCCGCAGATTACGAGCATACTGATTTCGCGAGGCAGCCATGTAGGTCTAACAGCGAGCCATAATGTTTCAAGGTCGTCACTTGGTGGACAGATGGATTTTATAGTGTTGCAGGAGATAGTATCTTTGATGTAGATACCAACGCCACCACCTTTTCTGCCGTGACGAATTTTGTTAAATAAGTGGTACCCCTGTATGGTTCCGATGTTTAATGTATCGTCTTTGAACCACGTTTCTGTGATTACTGTAATATCGATAGTATTTTGTTTCATTATGACGTCAAGTTCGTCCACTTTGTTTGTAAGGCAGCATGCAAGGTAAATGCTGGGAAGTGTTCTGCGGGGTCTTGCGTTAGATGGCGCAATTGTTGACGAGTCCTTTTGGTCAAACATCCCGCTCGGGGTTGCGAGGTTTTGTACTTGTTTCTATTTAAAAAGACTCACGGGGCTGGGGAAGGAATCTGACTTCAGAAATTCATCAGCTACAAGTGCTTTGCCTTTAAGAGAAACAGTGAAACTGGCATATGAATGACTCATTTTTGTTTTGAATGCATTTACATCGTCCACCTCAGGGAAGTTAACGAGTAGGTGATTCTCGATATCTGCTTCCTCAGTGTCTGTGTGGCAGTTTGTTATGTAAAGGTACAACACCTCTGGTTTAGCTGCCCCCTGAAAAGGTTTAGCGGTAGATCTTTGTTCTATTTTGTCTTCTTTTTCTTTTTTCTTTTTTCCACGAGTAAACCCATCCGCATCCACATTGCTTGGATTAGACGTTTCGTGTCTTACATGGTTGGGACTGTAGTTATTATTTATCAAAACAGGAGCCGTGTTACTACTGTCGGGCTGGGGAACCCCGGGCACGTGGTGGTACTTTGCATTGCTCCACTCGCGGTTCGGTGCGGTTGGTGGAGGGGGAACTGTGTCTTCTTGCTTGTCGTTTTCCCTTCTGTTGTTCCGCTTGTTTCTCCTCTTGCTATTTCTAGTGTTGTTGCGCGTAGGCATCACCTGTGTTTCTTTGTTGCTCATCTTCTCTATTGCTGATAAATGTGGGGGTCTTGAGGGGGATTTTGACGCCGGGCCGAGGAGGAATGCGCGGCTCGCTTGCGTCCGCAGGGTCGCGCGCCTGCAGTGCCGCACAACACTGGCCGGTGATGACGTCAGGTTCGGGTAGCACTGGGTTAGTAGTTGCATTACCCGGGGGGGGGGGTGACGTGGGGCTGGGTTCACGAGGGGTTCAGGGCTAGGGTTCTTTATAGGTTCTGGGCTGGGGATCATATTGAGGTTCGGTGTGGGAGGTGGGAGGGTGTCGATGGGTGTGTGTGAGTTTGGTTCGGTGGGGAGTTAAGGGGGGGGGGGATAGGAGAGCAGAAGGGAAAAGGTTCGTAGCAAGATGTGTATATAATATATATATATATATATATATATATATATATATTATATATATGTATGTATATATATATATATGCATGTATATATGTATTATTATATATATATATACATAATATATATATACATACACACACACACACACACACACACACACACACACACACACACACACACACACATATATATATATATATATATATATATATATATATATATATATATATATATGTATATATATTATATACATACATATATATATATATATATATATATATATATATATATATAATATATATATATATATGCATGTATATATGTATTTATATATACATACATATATATACATACATACATACACACACACACACACACACACACACACACACACACACACACATATATATATATATATATATATATATATATATATATATATATATATATATATATATATATATATATATATATGTATATATATGTATATATGTATATATATATATATATATATATATATATATATATATATATATTATATACACACGCATGCATGTATGTATATATATGTATGTATATATATATCAACATATATATACATTTATATATATATATATACATATATATACATATGTATGTTTATATATATATATATATATATATATATATATATATATATATATATGTGTTTGTTTGTGTGTGTGGGTGGGTGGGTGTATGCGCGCGCGCGTTCCCTATTCTCCCGCCGAATTTCGTTATTTCCTGGCGCCATCTTGCCAATGGCTTGCCCTTGAACTTCTGCTGCTAGTGACTTCCCTGTTTGTTATCCCCTTTATCGACCTGGGTTCTTGGCTCCAGTGTGACTCTTTTTGATACACTTAAGTATATTCTTCATGTTGTTGTGTTCCCTATTTAATGCTTTTAGACAGGACTTGCTTGGGATTGTTTTTGTTTTTTGGTGTTTTTTGTTTTTTGTCCCGCTTTTTTCACAGTCGACATTTGATTCTACAGGTTTACAATGTTTGTTTTCTCATCTATTACTTAAGATTCTTTTAAGGCATGACTGGATATTACAAGACTAATTTCTTTCTGAACTAAATAAGTCCAATTGTCAGCTCAGTCAGACCCGAGTATGTGACTTGAGAAAGAAAACGGAACAGTTTTTTTTTTTTTTTTTCTTCTATTTTGAATTTGATGTCTGTATTTTTTTCTACTTATATCCGATGGAAGTATATTCATCCAAATATAGGAGTATCTACATCATATTTTTTGGGGGGGGAAGTTTGGATTGGTTTCCTTTTGAAGGAACAGAAGGAAGTCAAAATATATTAATTTTATATGCCATTGGATTTACACATTAACTTCAGGATTGTGCATTTCTTTTATTAAAAGGAAAAGAAAAAATATTGTTTTCTGATATGAGAAAAATTTTTAAAATCGTTATTGACTAATGTCTTTTGAATGCCATGAAAACAAACTAATTTTCATCGGTTATGAAATTATGAAATTACTTTCTTAGAGGTCTCATTTGGATAACCAGAACTGTTGTAAAATTTTTACATGCACAAAAAAATCAATTTTCCTTTTGAGGAATCACTTTCACCCCCCCCCCCCCCTCTCTCTCTCTAAATGAAAAGACGAAGAAAAATCTTTGAGCTCCATTTTGAAGGAAGGTGGTCCCTTTCATTCCAACCTTAAAACTTTTCCGTGTTTATGTTGCAGGACAAAATTGTTGCCTTGCTGAAAAGAACTATTGTCTTAAGATATTATCTAAATATGGTAAGCCCCTGTTTTTACTCAAAAATAGCCCCTTCAGTATTTCCTCTTGGCAAGTTAGGTGAAATGGCTGTCGTGATCTACGAAACAGCTAAATACTGCTTCCCTTCTGGTATAGGAGGGTGGGAGATATAGAAAGATAGGCAGATAGGCAGGAGGGATAGATAGATAGAGAAAGAGAAAAGAAGGGGGAGTAGATATATAGATAGAGAGAGAAAAGAGTTGGATAGACA